CCACCGTGTTTGGGGCTGAGGTAAGAAAAATTATGATTATGACACCTCTAGATGGCCGGGAATGGCACTCCCAGACTTAAACGAGAAAGAAGGTAATTTAATGAAACCTAGAACGAAGATGAGTTTGTACGTGGTGAGTGATTGACAGCCGGCGGGGGAAAACACTTAAATTCTTCAAAAAGTAGTAAATACGGTACTGTACAGTTAAAAGTCCTTGCTTTTACCATGGAGGTATACGAATTAGAGGAAGTCCTAATTGTAAACTGCTCTGATTGGTCAATGAGTTTTGGTAGAGATTTCTGGAACGTGCGAGTGTGTCTTGAATTTTCCACCCCTGTAATTTGGAGGCGGTCGCACCACCACACCCCCACCCCCGCGTACGGCCCGTATTTGAATAAATACGGTATGACATCCAGATATATGTAATTGGGCTGTGTACCAGCTTTGTGTGATTTAAGTTGGTTTTGGTCTCAATAATTTTCAAGAGGGATAGGAGGAGTTAAATAGCTATTTCACGTCGTAATTATACGCTAACAAAAGATAACAATTACTGACTGACACTCATAGGTTTACTGATAAACTTTAACATGAAAACATTAGCATCGCTTAAAAGATTGCTATAAAATATTGTAGGACGATCCTCTCCTTTACTGACAATGTCCACACATTTTTCTTTTGCTGCTGTTTTAATATTGTTTCAGATCGTTAAAAATGCCAGTGTCCAGCTTCTGAAATTCGGCGCCAAACGTTCGGTCGAAATTATCATACGACTTGATGTCTCCACTATATGCCAAGATCGATTTTTTTCTTTTACAGTATCGATTAATTCTTGCCTTTCTACGAGAAATTAAAGATCAAACTGTTGTCACTATCTCATCATACATTGAAGGAGGATCTTAGTAAAGTACCAATATGTGAATATTGTGACCAGTTAGAGAGCTTGACTCGTTGTAAACAATCGACGTTTTAAAATGTATTATTATTGTATGACGCAATTTAATTCAATCGCTTCATCAACCAACAAGAGTATTATACGCCACAACACACAATAAATTAATATTTACAAGAAGTAATTATTAGCTTGCTATAATATGGCCTACAAAAAGATGAATGGTTTTAAAGCCAGAAGGAGAGGATGTGGGATGTAAAACCGTAGTAAAAAGAGCACTCAAGTTTGACTGCAGGATTTTTTTTTCACCATAGGGTAAATGGTGTATTGGACGAGGCCATAGGCCGCATGATACTCTCAGAAGCTTAGGCAATTTAGGATTTAATCGATTTTAGGGTCTTACTATTATTTTTCGCCGTTTGCCTATTTCAAACACCAAATAAAAGTTAGTACGTACATTTTCATTGAGAGATCCTTATAGACAAGTTTAATTAATATAACGTGGCGTATAAAATATATTCCGACTCCGACCCCCGACGGGGAGCTGAGGTCCCCGACAGGGGGTCCGATTTCCCCGACGAGGGGTCAGATTTCCCCGACGAAAGCAAAGTGGGCGTGGTCGAGCTTCGATTAAAAGGTTTCGAAAGTGGTCCAGGGGGCGAAGCCCCCAGAAAATTTTAACAATTTAGGGATTTCAGAGGCTTAGGCCTATTTAATAATTTTTTCTACTAATAGGCCCTATGTAGAAAATACATATATATTTTTTTCTCCCCGACGAATTGTGCTCGTCAGAAGTAACACACGCGTAAATATTTTACGTTTGTCGTAACTTTACTTTAGACAGGAAGGCCGTCTGAACATAACTACGGTTAAAACGTTCTTTGTTTTAAATACCAAGGCATTGGGTGTTTGGTTCAACGACTGGGTAATAATGCAAAGAGCATATAGGCCTTCTTGGCATGATGCGCACAGTAAAATATTATTATTAGGCTCTTACGGTACCTCTCTTTCCTGTGTCGTCGGACAACGAATACAAGATTCAAGATACAGATACATGATACTTCCTTTATTGTCTAAAAAATGGAAATAACAAAGCTCATGACTGCCAGTACAATACAATATTAAATTAGGCCTATCTTAAATACTATAAATATATATAATCTCGTATACCAGCTGGGTAGTACTAGTGTGCGCATTCACCGTGCTTCATTCTATACTCCTAATAATAACCAGGGAACAGTGAAATTACACGGTGCATAGTTATAATATATCGGCACCAAGAATCGCGAATGGTTTGTTTCCTCCAGTTGTAGTCAGAAACACCTTTGCAAGCCTTTCGTGGTAGAATGAGTCAAGCGTCTGCACACACGAACAAATTGCTTTCCCCGCCCTACCCAGCACCCTTTCAGTTCTGTCATTATCCCCATACAGATTGACCGCAGTTTCCTTAAACAAGAGCCTAGTGTTTATAACCTTTTTACTATTGATCAACATGGTCCCCACATTTAAGCTTATTATTGTAGAACACCACTCCTAGATACTTACGGTATATTAACAATATAAACTCATTTCCTTTAATAGATACAATATCAGTCAAAAGATAATGTTATTGACACTCAGACCATGTCAAATAAATTTGATTGACATAAACAAGGTCGTGGTACTCGTAAAACGTCCGGCGATCAACCCAACAAAATATTTTGGCAACACATGTTGGCCGTGACCCATTTCTTATACA